TAGAACAACAAAACTATTCATCCATATCTCATTGCCTCATTGTTTCATATGTCCATATTGTCTCATTCTCATTCTCACTCTCACTCTCACTCTCTCTTTCGTCTCATTGTCAGCCATTTGTTGTTATGATTTGGTCACACAAAATCCATGCGTTATACGTTTACCGTTATACGTTTACGTTTTACGTTACTCATTTGGCGTGCTCTTATTTTTTGTGACACGCCATTCTCTTTAATATTAACGCAATGCGCTCATTTCAGAAAAATACGCTCACTCAAATTTTGTTTTTCTTTTTCTCTCTTCCCACGCGCGCCTCATCCATCGAATCGAAACGAAACGAAACGAAATGTATTGAAAAAAAAAAAAAAAAAACGAAAACAAAAACAAATACGAAAAATCATATTTATATATATTTATACAACAAACGTACCGCAACTCTTGTGTGTATCACTCTCTGTTCTTCTTCTTCTTCTCGCTATTGTGTCGTTTTAGCTCTTACAGAAGCTAAAGACTGAGAACGACCGACTGCGTGCCGAGAATCGTGCCCTCACGCGTGTCGTCTCTAAGTTGACAACATCGGCCCAAAGTCAGCTGGCTAAAAGCAAATAGGCAACAGTTAACAGTTCACAGCATACAGTTATTTAGCCCAGACCACAGCAAAGAAATTTAGATACATGCATACATACATATAATTAAATAAATATTAGAACACAGCAAAATCAAATATCGTAATCGCAATCGCAATCGTCATCGTTATCGTTTCTATATATGCATACATCAATATACACTAAACAGCAGTACACCTAGAATAGCTAAAATTATTTATCTAAAAGATACTCGGACACCACCATTTGATGTGCTAGCTAGCGATCAACTAATCAAATGAAAAACTTATTAGATTCTACTATTATTATTATTAAATAAAAATATTATTATTAAAGAAATGATTTGCATTGTTATATTGAGAAGAACGTGTAACAATAATTGAATGTATTCTAGTTTTAAAATTAAGTTTACATCACTTTTTTGCGAGGGGCAACTAAGCACTTTTGCATAGCCTGGCACTACTGCTCTATAAGGCCTGAAGCTCAATCGATATAATACTATTTATAAATATATACAACACATACACACTTTAGCTAATGTATTTGGTAATTGAAGCCACTCAGTAAAGATATCGCTACAGCATATACATACATATATATCATAGCACATACATATATCCACAAAATATCGCAAATACTCGTAATCAAAATCATCGCAACTTCAAGGATTATAGACAAAAAGCTCAACCAAGGCTGACCAACAACAACAACAACAAAAACAACTCTACTACAACAGCAATATTAAAGGGTCGCAGCACCATCAGCACAGATCTAGTATATTTTCTTATATGCAATGAGCTTAACGGTAATTGATCCACACTTGCACTGAGAAGAAAACCTGCATCATATATATGAGCTGACTGTTGTTTTGTTGTTGTATAATACCAATAAAATATATATATATATATCTATATGAAAACAAATAGCTAAACTAAATTTTCTAAGCCAAACTAGTTATAATATTGTTTTATGTGGGGAGTGTTTCAAACGTTGTTTATTTTTTTTATACAAAATTCTGCGCCTGTTGTCTTAAACAAAGATTATTGGATTACTTTACAGTTTTGAAACACTCGGCTGTATATACATACTTTATTGTGTAACTATACTTACTTTACTCTATGACAAAATTGTTCCCCTGTTGTTAATATTGTTAAAATGTTTTTGCCAAACAAATTTTATATACTCATGTATCTGTGTGTGTTTTATCTCATCTATCTATATCTATATGACAGTTATATCAGAGTTGCGAAAATAAAAGTTTGACCATTTGTAATTCCTTGCAAAAGGCTGTTTATTGTTTGTTGTCCTTCTCTGTCTTGTTCTACATTCGGCAACAGGAAGTAAGCGTCCATATCGTACATGTGCCTCACCAACATATAGAAGCATCAATGAGTTTTTAATCTTAAGTCTGATTCGTTTTCCTGGTTGGGTTGTTGTGCATGTTGCTGTCTGTTTGCCTAGGGCGTTCAGTTCCAAAGAGATGAGGTTCTAGATATAGATGTAGATATTGATATACATATACGAATATGTATACATCTATATCTAAATGGAGTTATGTTTTAACTAATGTTTGTTTGTTGTTCTTGTTGTTGCTGAGTTGCTTTCAACTAAATCGCATGATATATATTTTATATATTTTTTCTTTTCTAGAGAAGCCATCTAATATACATATACCCCCTCAATTCTATTCTTTCAATGTGCTGTTGAGCTCCCTATTTTTGTATTATTTATAATTGTTTTCACTAATTTTGTTCAATTTTCTTTTACTTTCGCTGCACTTTCTACCAATCCAAATCCAGCAACTCGATGCCTACAAATCGGACAACGATCGCCTAAAGGAGGAGAACGCAGCGTTGATTAGAGTAATTAGTAAATTAAGTAAATGAAATTATGTCTTAACTTAAATGTACTCCAATCAAGAATAACAAAAGAAAAAAAAAAGAAAGAAAAACAAAAGCAAATCAACAAAAAGCAAATTCAACAAAATTGATATAAGAATCAAAGAAGAAAAGAACTGTTTAATATTATTATAATTATTATGATTATTATCTTTTGTGTGTTAAGGCATTTAAGAGCAAGTTGGAAACCATGTTTCAAAAATCGTTGAAAATTGTTTGTTTTCTTTTCTTTTTTTTTTTATCCCTCTGTCTCTCTTCCAAAATGAATATTATATATAATATATAAAGAAGTTGATGAATGGAGCGTATATTTGATTTCTATACATGTATACAAGAAACAATATAGTGAAAATTCTAAACAACAAAAAGAAAAGGAAAAGTTAATTATAGATTATAGATGTTGTATAACGGTTAATTTCAAACAAAATGAAAAATCTTTACGAAGAAACTGAGAAACATATTCATCAAATGAGCCCCTAGTTACAGATTAGTTTAACTACATACATATATTGCATACATATAAAAATATATATTTTTCATATATACATATAAATTATATATACACACACACACACCATACACACATACATACATATTTAAAAAAAAACTCATACAGCTAAAAAGTAAGAAAATAAATTGTTTGTGAAATGTTTTTGAAAGCAGCCCACGCAATGTCAACGTAATTTATTAAAGCTGTAATTGTTTATAAAGAAAAAAAAAAGAAAGTGACGAAAACTTAACTCATTTAGCTATAAATTACAAATTTTGTAAACAATCAGTGGATATTCATATGAGAGTTATGCATATGCAACAATACGAGAAATATCTTATATATATATGTGTGTAAACCATGGCGCTACAAGTTGTATATATCGGTATATATATATACTCCTAAATGTATGCTACAGAATGTTGCATGTGCATATAGAAACTTGATTTAAATCATTATGTTAATTTTAAGTTGTTCACTTTTTGGAAACGTATTATATATTGTCGTACTATACTTATTTGAATTTCGCCTATATATGATTATTGAAAATTCGTTTAAGAGATTTTTGTGTTACTCGTGATGAAACGACAAAGCAAACAAACTGATAAAAAAGGAAAACAAATAAGTGAATTGTGTAATATGTAAAATTGTGAGAAAAAAAATATTCAAATACGAAACTTAATAAATGTGATCGCAAAGTAAAATAAGAGTGTGTTTCATTGTTAATGATTTGAGAATAAAAATCTGAGCTGTGAGATGTTATAGATATATGTATGTGCAAATTGGCTGAACTTGTTTAAAAGGGGAAAGGAGCTACTATATCTGGGACTTCTCAAACATTTTGCACAAAGATAAATCTCAAATAGATACGAAAAGCACAATCAAGTCTTACAAATGTGAATAGCTTTGCCATTTATCTATTGTCATCAATCTGCATAAATTATTATAATGTTTTTTTACTTAGAAAAAAAATGAGATATATCTATTATTGACCACATTTAGTTGCGCCAAGTGAAGCGAAATGATGCATGAGAATATTTGCTGTACCTATTGAGGCAATGACATCAATGGACGGATTTGAGCAATTATTTTGCGATTATTTGAGATATTTTAAATAATGATGCAAACTGCAGAGTCCAACCAAAAAAAGTCGTTATTTGTCAAGAACAAGAGTCAACTACCTTTATCGAAATAATCTTCTGCACAAGAGACAGCATAGCACGTGTAGTAATAAAGCCGTAAGAGCATACTATGAGAGGCTGACGTACTGCGAGATATTGGGCTGACTTTAGTCTCTGAACAGTATACAGTTTTGGGCAGAGCTATAGGCTACAAGAGGGGTTAATGGAAATGGCCTTTGATATGGGCAATTAAGAAATCAACGTATAGCATTGCAAGTGTAACTAAAATGTACTAATTGTAATGGGCACTAACTGAAATAATTTTAGAGCGTAAAAATATATACTCTATATATGTATATGTTGGCATAGGTATCTCTTTCTATGTATAATTATAGCTGACGACGAATTTATGTTCTTCTTATTATTATTTCTCAAATTATGTTAATGCATGCATACGTACGTCGCCCGAGTGTGTTTAGACTTGAGCACGCACTGCCATGTTTAGTGGGGGCTTATTGATAATTTGGCCTCTGATGTCTAACCTGGTTAAAAATATAAAACGTAAAACAATAGAGCGCACGTCATCATAGACCAGGAATAGAAGCAGGAGTAGCTATATTTAAAGCACTCGGACTCGTTTGGCCCACGGTGCGTTTCGACTGCTCCGACGCCCGTTCAAATGTCACTCGACTCAATGCTGTGTGCGCCGTCAGCTGCTCAAAAGCCAATTGAGTGGAAGTGCGTTGAGCGCGGCTTAAATAAGTTTTCAGTTAGCCAAAAAGCGTCAGTTTCGCTCAAAGCGTCTCCACGTTCACAACGTTCGTCGTCGTCGTCGGCTGGGCCAAAAAAAAAAAAGAAACAAAGAAAACAAAAAACAACAACTTTAATTTATTTAACCTGGCGCACAAGTAAACCATATTTATATAAGTTTTTGGCGAAGTTGTGAAATTAAAGTGTTTTAGCCAAAAGCGCGCAAGCCAATCAGTTTGAAACGGATTTCTAAAAGTGAGTTCATGTTGCATCACTTACATAATAGGGGAAAGGATATGGACAAGAAAAAAAAAACTCACACCTACACACACATGAGAAAAATACAAGCAAATCTGCAGCCGAAGAAAAACTTTCGCTTTCACCGAAGCACCACATGGCTTGAGCTTTTCTCAAGCTTCAGTCGAGTTAGTTTTATTTATTTTTCTTTCGACTACTATGCTGCAACATCTGTGCGGATCAGATCAAATATCAAGCTGAAGTTCTGGGCAATTATTGGACCTGTTCTTGGCTTTCACTTGCAGTCTGGTTACACGAAATTTCGTCAAGTGTATTTATTAATCGCTTATGTAATTTTGTATTTCTGCATATCTGCGATCTGGTATTGGCCAATAGCGGCGGTGCGATTGCTCAACCGACAAGTCAATTAAAATTACGCGCTAGTTGGTAATACGCTATACGTTAACATTTTGAATGTTAAGCCAAAGGCCCGTGCGGCAAGGCCAACGCCATTAAAAAAAGTAAATAAAGCGTACGGACACAGAGTCTATGCAATCAGCGTCTATGTGACTTTTCAGTTATGAATACCCATATGTATATATAGATACAATTGCGTGTGTATATAGACATACCACATATTCATTGATATTCAGCGGCGATCACAGTTTAGCAACTGCAGTAACGGTCACACTATTGTGACCTCGCTGTGCGCACACCATTCGCATACAGACCCCCAAAAGAAGAGTCGACAAACATTCGACATTTCGTATACAATGTGCCTTGGGGGCTTTTATATAGAGTTCCCAATCGATAAATGTTATGAATTCGTACAGTCGAACGTGTTGAGACTTGACAATTAACACTTTCAGCTAATGAATTGTGTATTTTCTAATGATGGCGATTCATTCAGTTGCATTCTAATGATCGAGAGATTACGTACTCGCCCATTACAGCCACTTGTAGAATTAGTATTCATGTTAAAAGGTTTCCTTCCACTTCAATGACAAAGTGTTAAATATTAGTTTAGCTGCAGTAGATTTCTTAAGTGGGAGGCTTAATGGGAAGTTACATCGATATCCGGCATATGCGATTCGAGCTAAAGTTTGAGTGAATTGTAAACCTGGAGTTGAAAGCTTTGCCTAAGCCAGAAACTCGTTTCGAGTGTCTTCCGCTCTTGCACTCTCGCTCTCTCTCTCTCACACACTCGCTCACTCTTCTTTTTGGCTGCTGGCGCTTTGTTGCTGTACTTGAGTTTTGTCAGATTTGATGCTATGATGTAACCACGAAGCTAATTGGCCGAGCGGATGCAGAGAAAGAGCGAACAAAAGAAAACACAAATTGCACGTCGCAAAGCTCAGCTTGAAATTTTCGCTCTCCTTTTCCTGCTGTTGCTTCTGCTGCTGCTGTTGCTGCTGTTGCTGCTGTCTCCTGTAGCGCATATGGCCATATGACCCAAAAACGCAATCGTCAATAACTACACACATACATATATATACATGCACGCCCATATGTACATATGCCCATGTAAACTGGGCATAGTCAAAGCAGGGCATATTACGAATTTTTGCTTTGTTTCTTTTTCTTGGTTTTTTTTTTTTTTGAGCAGTGTCAAAGCCCCGCACTCTTCCTCTCAGCTCACATTGAAATCTGTGTGAAGGCCATGAAAGTGAAAAAAACATCAAATAAAACTTGATTTAACGCCGTCCACTGTTATGGCCATCGCTATGGGAGTCTGCTCATAAACAGTTTGTTGACCAAAATCGGTTCGTTTTCTTTCTTTCTGTGCAGCGGCAAGCCAATTAATATGGCCATTAATACTGCGCAGAGGCAATGCTTTATTTATCTCAAGTATATACCTTCAATTGGCCATGTTCAAGTAGCCACTGGCCAATGACAGATACAGTGCCTGCAAGCAGTTGACAACTGCTGCAGGTGATATAATCATCTGCTGCTCTGCTGCCTTTATCTCTTCGCTGACCTTCGAACCAAATGGGTTTTTGAGCGTGTAGAAATTTAAATGAGCTATCATCGTATGATGTGCTCGAATCGGTGTTCATATGCAAAACGAACTGTCCCTTCATTTTGGGTCATGGTCAATGGACCGGTGGCTAGACAAAAAGAAGCCAACTGGTTAATGCCCGCAGTTGATCACCTGTGGCTGTGGCTCTGTCGATGGCTGTGGCTGTGGTAATTTCAGCCTGATAGAAATCAGCAGCTCTCTTTTTAATCGATGCTTTGGTTTTTTGTTTTCAATTTGCCAACTCTGAGGCTGATAAACATATGCAGATCCATAGATGTTTTGACACTAACTAATGCGCGGCAGCTGAACCCACGCAACATTGATTGCCATAAAACCCAACACAGCCAAAGCCAATGACCCAAGTTTAAGAGAAAACAAACTTGAATGCAGGTGGGCCTTAATTGTATCTGTGTACCTGCGTCTGTGTGTGTCTGTGTGACTGCTGATTAATGTAGGTTAGTAAACAGTAGTTAATACCCAAAGTTCGATGAATTTTAGCATTTTAGCAACGGCTTCGGTGCCTGACCAAGGCCAACTACACAATTAGTACTATTCGCTGTATACACCGCTTATACGTAATAAATCGTTTTTCGTTTCTTTCTGTATACACTTTAATTGGCTTTCAGCGGCTATAATAAACATAATTGTATCTATTCTTGCAGTGCTGGAAACTGAGGTGCGGCAACAACCCAAGCTCAATGGATCCTCATCCAATGACAAGGACTTTGATCCGTATGTTTGCTCTCTGAGCGCTGACCTGAAGGCGGTGGCCTGGGAGGAGCTGCACGAGGATGAGAATATACGGCGACAGGCCTTGGCTCAGTTCCGCGAGTGGATTGCCAAGCATCCGCACATCAAGAAGTGCCGCACTGATGCGATCTTCCTGCTGCGTTTTCTGCGCACCAAGAAATTCTCAGTGCCCGCTGCTTGCGAGATGCTCGAGCGCTATCTGACCATTCGCCAGTTGTATCCCCAATGGTTCCAGAAACTGGACATCAATGATCCGGCCATCAATGAGATCTTCGATGCCGGGTATTTGGTGCCGCTGCCGCAGCGCGACGCGACCGGGCGTCAGGTGATCTTCTCGGTGGCCGCCAAGTTCGATCCCTACAAGTTCACATCGGTGCAGATGGCGCGCGTGCACAGCCTGATCTGTGAGTCGCTGCTGGACGAAGAGGACTCGCAGGTGTCGGGCTATGTCTATGTGAACGACGAGAGCGGCATGAACATGGGCTTCGTGAGTCTCTGGTCGCTGACCGATCTGCGCAGCATCATGAAGTGCATTCAGAACTCGACGCCCATGCGCCACAAAGAGACACACTTTGTCAATATACCCCACTATGCCAATCGCATCATTGAGCTGGGCGTGTCCATGCTCAGCGACAAGCTGAAGAAGCGCATCATTGTAAGTCAAGTTGATTCTCTATATATATATTTTTATCAACTCTATTAATAACTGCTTCTTCGACAGGTGCACAAGAACGTGGACGCATTGAAGACAAAGATGGATCCAGCCATTTTGCCCAAGGAATACGGCGGCACTGTTCCCATCGCCGACATGATACGCGAGTTCAAGGCTAAGCTGCTGCAGCGCCGCGCTGCGATCCTCGCCTTGGACGACATGCACATCGAGATCACCAAGGAGGCGGCCAACTTTGCGGGCAACGACGTGGGCGACATTGATGCCGGCGTCGTGGGTAGCTTTAGGAAACTGGAGGTGGACTAGTTTTAATGTCCAGTTGGGCTTTAGATTAGGCTAGGCTAGGTCAGAATACCATTGAGACATTTGACAACACACACACACACAAACACATACACATACACAGTCGAAAGGCAATCAAAATTAATTCGCCTTTTGGCAGCATAAATCCTAAATTATAAATATACAATTATTTACGGCCGGGACTGCAGCATCAAATTTGGCACAGACATAGACAGGTACCGGAATCTGAAGTTGTAGTTAATAGTTGTTTCTAGTTATATACACATACACACACACACACACACACACACCCACACATGTACACAAACATATTCATGCACACCTCTATTGTGTGCATGCATGCTATTTAAATATATTTACCTTGTTCAAATGACTGTCTTGGTTCTTTCTATTGCTTACCGTAAAGAATTCGCGTTTATTTCAGATTGCAGACGTTGCTCAAAGAGGTATGTAAACAGACGTTTATGTTCCTAGAATATGTGCAACTGGCAATTTTATTGTATTATTCTGACAAGAAATTCATTAACATGGAATCAAATTCAAACGAATTTTCGACAAATTAATATAGGGTAGATTCCAGTTTAATTTGATATTTCTTATTGCCATTGCAAAAACGACCAACTTTTGTTGTGTGAAACTTTGGAAGCATATTAAATATAGTCTTACAGCATATATTTAGAACTTAGACATTAATATGAAAAGGGGAATTCAAATGTTTTCTATATTTACTTTTAATGGTAAGCCAACTCAACCTTAAATTAGGGTCAGTTTTTTGGAAGTTGACAGTTTTATCAAGAGTTTCGATAAAGAAATGATACATTTTATTGCTCTACTTAAATACCTAATCAATTAAACGTCAAGCTAATCAAAATGTATACCTCTCAAATATGCTGTTAGTCTTGATATAGAATTCGGAGTTATGATGTAGCAGTTTTCCCAGAAGTGGCATATTTATAGTTCTTGTTGTTGGCAAACATTTTGGCAAAAAAAAATAAAAATAAAATAAAATTCCTAGAAGCTTAAAATCAATGTAGATAAAAAATGAATCATTCAATTGTTTTTTTTTTTTTAATAATATGTAGAAGCAAATGAATTCTAAATGACTGTTTTGACCAAGTTATAAATGATTAAATTATTTAATGTAGATCGCGGGAAATTAATTGTTTTGAATGTCTAGAGAGAGAGCTGAGATCTTCACAACCCAGAACTTGTTGAATCCATTGTAGCGCATTAGAGAGTCGCACAAGCTCAGCCGCTGAGAACTTTTGTTGTGCCCATAATTGTTGTTGCAATGCGATAACGGTGACACAGACGACGACAAAGACGACGACGACGGTGAGAGAATCTTATTGCATTTTTGAGCAAGAAAGCAACGACAATCAAAGCTCGAGGTATGAAAGCGTAAAGTTATGTGTGTGTGTGTATGTGTGCTTAAGTATGCTTGCTTGTACTCAATGTTTATATGAGAGAATGTGTGTGAGTGTACAAAGTTGCGAGAATGTGTGTCGGCATTATGATTGTGTATGGTTTATTATTATGACCGCATACGAAATAATTTCCAAGTTTACATTTCAGTTGAGCGTTGGATCAGCTGGAGAACGGAGAACGGTGAACCGAGAACCGAGAACGCGAGCACTGAGCATTGAGCAGCGATCGTGGAGTGGCTAGCGTTGATCGTTGATCATCTCGAGTTGTTAATTGTTGCGCTTTGTGACCGTGCTAAATGTTTCGCTTTGTGGCCCGGGCTTAGGCATGTCGACATCAGCTGCCGCCGCCAGTGGTTGAGCAATTGCAGAACATAGAGCGACACAGTTATTCCATGTGTATAAATAGTCTGACAAACGAGGTCTTCTTTAAACTCTGTCTGTGACTTTCTCGCTGCTACACTGAGTATTGTCGTCGATTGTATTGATAAAGTGTAAGTGCGACAAGCGCCACGTGCGGTACGTTCTGGCGGCATACGGGGTGTATGCGCAATAATGTTAGTCATCAGCTGTGCGTGAGTGTGTCTGTGTGCCTGTAATTTATTATGGGGTCAAAGACTTTTGCCCAAAATCCCCATCAGCTAATAAACAGCTCAGATTCTAAAGATAATACCCGCATGCATATTGTGTTCATTTGCATATGTGAATGTGTGTGCTTTCGTTACACACATGTGGGCATGTAAGCTGAGCAACCTGCCAGTTGCATGTCAGCAGCCAATTCGCTACTGGGCACTTGCACGGCACGAGCAGCTGCTCTCTGAGCGCGGCAAGAGAGCGCTGGCGCTAACAGACGGTGAGCATTTGGAGCGAGGCGAAAGCTTTGCCGCGAACAGCTGTTTGAGCGGGAGCTTATCCAAACGTAGCTTTCAACTGGCTTGCGCTCAGAGCATGTGATAAGTGGAAGGCGCACTGGAAGCACGCACACACACATACATACATATATGCAACTACTTCAATTACAATTGAGAGTGCGGGAGAGACAAAGAGAGCGCGCATGGGGCAATTGAGCATGGGCGGTCGAAGTGGCGTTGGCGGCTCGCGTTTCGTGTTTAGCGTTTATCAATACGGAGTACGAGTCGTAGATAAGAACTCTGAAATCATTTATATAAATTGAATTATCACCTCTTTCTCTTTCACACATTCGCATGGAAAAGCACAGAAGACAGCAGTGCAGTGCAGTTGAGCGGCGACGTTAACTGGAACAACATGAACAAATTGCGAACTCTGCTGCCGGGCCAGCATGCCAAAGACACAGCGCGCAATTCGGTCGCCCTGGAACCGGAGATTGGCTTCCAGATAACCATTGAGACGCACGACCCAAAGGAGGGCAGTCAGCAGAGCTTTGCGGGCTCAAACGGTACGGCGGGCGTACCCGAGTTGAATGTGCACCTGATTGCGGCGCGACACCTGCCTTCCCTATTCGGCTTCAAGATCGTTCAGGGCTATCTAATAAAGGTAATTAAAAGCTTTTTGTCTTTAGCCTTCGATTGCATTTGTTTAATTAGAGTGCGAATGAAAACCTGTCTGAAAAAATACTATATAAATATTTTGTATAGATAGACTCCATAAAATTGAACGCGTTTTCGATTTCTTGCAGGTTAAACTGTTTCCCGGCACTAAGCGCTTGGATAGCAGCGTTCAGACCAACACATGGCCCAAGTTCAATGAAAATTTCAAGTTTCCTCTAGTGCCAGACATTAAGTAGGTATCTTGAGATGACATCCGAATCACATCCACTAAGACCTCTTCTCTGCCAATAGGCCATCCCTGAAGCATGGCTCCGCCTTCTCCTCCAGACGCCAGGTGCAGAGACGCACGAGTGGCGACACTTCCGCACCTGAAGAGCTTTTCGCCGGCCAATTCGTGGTGTTTACAGTATATGCTCTGCTGGAGCTGCCTGCCGCCGTAAGTCAACAGTTGCTGTTGTTCATATTCGTCTAATTTGTATCTATGTAGGTTAAATAAATAATGCCTTCCAGAGTTTCAATCGATTCAACAAGACCTATCGCTCCCTAAAAGATAAGAGCTCCACTTTCGTGCAGCGGCTCTCCTCCGGCGAAGTCCAGACTGAAAATGGGTCAACGCCAAAGAATGGAAAGAGCAAGAAGACAACAGAAAATCCTAGGGATGCCATGCCACCGTTAACAATAAGTGAATCACGTAGAAATATAGGTAGGTATCTTATATACTATTTATAATATAAGTAAATGTGACTAATATTTTTAAGTATTTAATTTGATAATGGTTTACTGATATACATATTTACATTTCTGTTTAAATTTCCATATGCGATTTAGGTTCCGTCACTTGCTATCTGGAGCCGAAGCTGTTTAAGCGCAATTCTCGCACCGGCTGCTATTCGACTGAGGAGCTCTGGCTGCCCATTAAAGATATAACCACAACCGTTTCAAAAACAACGCCCAGCAACAACAACAACAACAGCAGCAGCAGCAGCAGCAGCAACGTAAGCTATCAAAACAAACAAGTTGACATGCAGATTTGACCAAGACTTGACTCAACTTTATATGTTTATAAATATTGTATGTACATGTAGATGACAGCCGGGTGTCGAGTGCATAGCTTCATAAGTTAGACGAGCATAAAAATGAAATTAGTATGTGCATTTAATGTGGCCTAGAGAAAGTTGGCCAAAAGTAAATTGCGATGACTGCGTAACACACAAGACAAACAAACATATGCAGAGACAACGAAAGCAGAGACTGACCCTTGACTCGCTTTTATTTTGTTTTGCTTTTACAGCTCACGAATGCGCCCAAGGGCGTGGTGGAGTTGGCGCTGGAGGTGCGCGATCTCAGCGAGAGCGAGGGCACGGGCCCTAGTCCGCAGCCCACGGAGACGAAGGACATTCCAGTGGCGGCAGGTGCCAACAATTGGCAGCGCATGACGGCCGAGGTGAAGCGCAAGATGGGCATCAGCAATGTGGCCAATGGGGCGGGTGGTCCACTCATGCTGCGGGTAACGACTTCGCGAATGCGCTGCTCCAACAAGGTCAAGGATGAGCTGGAGGCAACAGCCGGCGGCGGTGTCTATGTGAAGACCACCGTGTTCGAGCACGGCATCTATGTGGATGCCTGGAAGTCGCCCGTGTTCTTCCCATCATTATCCACCAAATGGGACGGCTCTGGCGGCGATGAGGCGACCATATGTGTGCCATTGCGCAGCCTGGATCAGCTGGAGAACATTGTGATACGCATTACGCTGGCCACCAAGCTGAAAATGGCCAAGAAACTGGTGCTGGGCACGGTTATAGTCAGCGGCGCTGACAACGCCTCCGAGTCGGGCATGGAGCAGCTGCGTCTGCTGCGCGATTCCCCGCTCAATGAGCGCGTGGCCACGTGGCACTGTTACCACTAGCTAAGCTAGCCAACTTTAAGAATAGTTCCAAATCGCAGTTTGTGTTTAAGTACATATATGATTAAATTTATATGCTCAAGTCACTTTTTATTGTTATTGAAATGGTATTTGGATTCTCCGTTAGGCGCTGGTTTATGACCATGGCCATATTTAGGGACTGGCCACGGAACCAGGTCGACGCTCTAAGCCATTTCATGCTCAGGGGTTTTCACACTTTTTGCGCAGTATTCCCAAAACCAAAGGCGAACGTCTGTGGCCCACTGTGCGAGCGCTAAAATGCTGTCTGTGTGTGTGTGTGTGTGTCTCTCTCGCTGTGTGTGTGCGTGTATGTTGCGAGGAAAATAGTCGCTGGCAGCATCGAACGCAACGTTTGAAGCGCTCGGCGTTGGCGTTCAGTTCTCGAGAAGACGGCGTCGCGATCGGTTGGTTGCCTCTGTGTGTGTGTGCGTCTGCGTGCTTTATTTGGGCAGCGAGGCTGAGGCTGAAGCTGTAGCGAGTTGTTGGTCTATATATGAAAATCCAAATCCAATGTAAAAATATAACAAAAATTATTTAAAAACCACAAAAACAACAACCCAAAGTGCAAAAATAGAAAATTTAAGAAAAACAAAACTGAAAAAAAAGTGCGAAAATAAAACACGAAAAAACTTTGCAATTTTTTGGCGGCAGCTTTTGGTGGTTTCTTCAATTGAGTTGAGCGCACCCTGTTTGCAGGTATTGGCCAGGTAACCGGCAGGCAGCCTTAGCCTCTAATTGATGGGCGCCTTTCGATCGATTAGCATGCAAATAATACCAATAATAGATCATTAAACGTACGCGCCAACCAACGGAATTGTTCAATTGAATAGCGATCAAAATCGCAGCGACAATATATAGAGATGCGGCCTTAAATAGATGTCGTCATTCCATTTCATTGAGTTGACGGATATATACAGGCAGGCATATGTGCATATATTTATAAATTTATATAAACATACAGATATGTATGTGTGCATGTGCGTGTGTGAGTCTGTTTACATATATGTATGTATGTACTCCCAGTGCAGCGCTAGTTATGAGTGCATCAACAGTTTCATTCATAATAAAAAACAATATGCAAATTCAAACACACACACACACATGCATGCATGCATGCGTGCATTAAGCGCATGTGTTATAAATATGTTGCCTGGGCGCTTATGCCAGGGGGTGGCGACGCATTTAATGTGGCATCTTAGCGATTGCAGCGACAGCGGCGCCGAATCATGATTTATGGCCAACAGCATCCGTTTTATATATGTACATACACATGTATATGCATGTATACATAACATAAATACCTAAACAGTTGTGTTTTATTTTGTCACCAGAGTCTAGTGTATATTTACTAAACGAATCGAATTCGAGTTCGAATATAAACGAACTGGAATGCCACAAGTAAATAAACTGCAACTACGACTTGACACAACTGCTGAACTTCCTTTAGTTTGCTATCAGCTATCCAATTCCGATTAGGATTTAGGTTTTTCTTTCATCCTTCTATAAACACGCGAGTAATAAATAAACTAAAGTCGCGACTTGACAACTGCTCAACTTCCGCTGTGGCTGCCCATCTGCACATAAGTAGCAGCATGCGAGTGTGAGTGTGTCCACACACACTTATAGTAAGACGAGAACTGCCCACGAGCAGAGCAGCCGCTGCCCACTCGAGACATAAACAACAACAAACCCCCACATACTAAAAAGCCACAGTAGCGGCGATTCGGCTGACTATTTTTTGTCGTGTTTCATTTTATTTTTCGTAAGCGTCATTAAAATTGCATTTCGTTGAACTGGCGCCCCGCTGTGCCCCCGCAGTCGCGGCTGCCGCTCGTGCATCCATTGGCTGCCACAGGCGGCTGTGCCAGACTTGGCGGCTGCCTCTAGTGGCAGGTGGTGCGCCCAATTCCGATGACTATCGAGCATTTAACTAACGCGCGGCTACTGTTTTTTTCTCTCTTGGTTTTTTTCTTTCAGCTCTCTTGGTTTTGCGTAAATTTTCATTCATGAAAAGCTCATTCGAGTAAGAGCGAGCCGCTTGAGTGTCTATGCGACTATCAAATGCGCTTATATATTGTGCAATTAGGCTTAGAGAATGATTGTGATAATCTTAAAATAGTTGAGGTGATGAAAATCGCATATAATGATTGATTTTAAAGAAAGTTTTTAAGATATACACAGGGACAGACAGAGAGAGAGGGAGAGAGACAGATACGAGGAGGGAGATAAACAGAGATGTAGATAAATATATAGAGGGATAGACAATGAGTATAAGGAAAAGGGGATTAATGACATAAATAATAAAGTATAAAGGAACATGAAGTCTAGGTCTAGAATCAGATTTTTATAAATTCATACCCAATAGTCGTAGCTACCCTATGCGACCCTTGGGCATAAACAAACCCACTAAAGTCATAACAAGTGGTGTCTACTTTTCCACAATCTCTATTTAGTTTTTTTAAGCCCTATGACGACATGTCAAGGAATTTGGCAAATGTTTTTCATTGTTAATCTCGTAAAATTGTAACATTTTAATCCCACTTAGTCTGGGTGGGGTATTCAACAACATACATATATCTATAAAATGACGAACGGTTTGTTTACACGACGGCTGCGCATCCGCGTCTGCGTCGACAGCGGTTGCTGCGGTTGCTGCTGTTGCTGCTGTTGCGGGTGATTTGCGGTCGCGCTGCGTTCTAAATTAAGAAGAGCCGTTTTTTATGTGCATAGCTATATACATACATATAATACATATATATACATATATACATAGACAGATAGGCATGTCGTCAGGTGTTTAAGAATAGTTTTCTAGTGGTTTTTTTTCTGATAATGCTGAATATTCCCCACAAACACACACTCACACACACACACATACACCCAGTCACGCATAAAATAATAAAGTGCTGCTCTGTTACTCAACCTTAAATTATGAGATCGCTGCACATACGAGATGGACGAGCTGACAGATACAGAAGCATGTTTGGACAGCCAATTAAAAAATGAACCCGTAAACTACATTCTGTTATTTATGACCCGAGCATTTTCACTCTATGGCAGGCAATATTTGATTAGTATGAAAATTGCAAAGAAGGGCAGTGAAATTTTAAAGATTAGGGAGAGATTGAAATGGAAGGGGAATGAGAAAATCTAGGAGTAAGCGACCGACCGGAGGGAGGGCTGGAAAAAAATATGAAAACTGAAAGCTGGATCAAGAAAGAAAGAGGAAGAAGCCAAGTATCAGAAGGGAAAAATAAACAAGGAGTATGAATAGAGTTATATTGATATATGTATGTAAGAAGAGACTGAGAGTGAGGCTCTAATAAAAGTAAAATAGTCAAAAGCTCGAAAAAATGCGATGTTATGTAGGTAATAAAATTGTTTCTATTAGCAGAAATCATTCCATTTTTCCTAATCGTATATTAAAGAGTTGGCTTTAAATCCTTGAAAAAGTCATTTATTCCAAGAGTTGCATTATTCTTAAAGCTGAAATGGAATTCGAGCGTAAAGTGCGGTAAATACTATATGCCTCGGAGGTAGCAGGTACACTTGCTGAATATGATAAATGATAAAGCAGCTTTTAACGCCCAGCTTTGGAATTGCCCCAACGATACGCTCACATTTCTATTGTTTAACTGAAATATACAATGTGTATATTGCCAGCATCTATTTATCGATTGCACATTGACATATGAATGGCTCGTTCATGGATTTTATGGTCATTATATAGTGGGGAATGGGGATTGTATATGGGAATGGGAATGGGGCAAAAACCAGAACGGCGAAGCACGACTGTTTTAGCCAGGCAGGCTGGCTGGCTGGTTGTCTGTCTGTCTGTCTGTCCCTAGTGCCATTTGGATGCACGTGTCGCCATAAAGGGCCAGCCAACCCGTTGCCATATACGCGAGCAGCCAAGATTGAGATCAAGTATATGAATGCATGTGCAGGCAAGATGTGATTGAGCAGGGGCATCTGAAACTGAAGCTGAATCTGAATCTGAATTTGGTCAGCATTCGGCATTCGGCATTCAGTATTCAACATTCAGTATTCACTATTGACGTAAGATCGATTGTACTTGCTTTTATAAAAAACAACAAATATACATTGTTTTATTCTGTTTTTTATTTTGGGCATTTACCAAGTGCTTCTGTTGCCACTTTAAATTCCTCTGTGTAACTCAAAGTTGATTTTAATGGCGAACTTTGTGCTCAGGTCCGGGAATGTTTTTTTTTTTTCTCTGATGTTTTTTTGATAAATAATGAATATATGTGTGTTTTTAATTTTTGCTTTCAGTCTGTTTGTAATTACATGTACATGAACATGTAGCTAATTAATTTCACTTTTATTTCATTTTCATTTCATCTGTTGCCCACGCGTTTGATAGCCGCTTCCTAAGGTCTCTTGCAAGTTCAAATAATTTTGCTTTGTAGTTGCGTCAATCTGCTCTACAAAACAAAATAATATATGCGGAAAAAAAAATCAGAAAAATCTGAAAATAAAATAAACCATTTCGGAATTGTTGCATTGTGCGTAGAGCGACGATTGTCTCTACTTCTGTTGCTGTACTTTGTGCGCAAATGAGTCGATTAGTTGAGCCAAATTAAACGAGTTAATTGCCTCTAAAGAGCATTGGCGAATTTCATATCTGACTGCGTTAGATCTACAAATAGATCATTGCGAATGGCTCGTTGCGAATATAGTCTATTGCCCAATCCTTAGCGTAGTCAGGGAAATTAGTTTAAATTTTTAATTGAGTATGACTTAACCTTTATATAATTCAATATTTAACTCTTCTCTATTCACAGCTGGAATACCATTAATCTGCGGGAATGCGTTTAATTTGCAGCTTCATCAAATGGCTGGCGCTGCTGCTGCTGCTGGCTCCCTGTCAGGTGGGTTTGAGTTTATAAATGATATATATGTACATATAAATGAATGATTGGCCTATCCCACTTGACACACACATATACACGCGCGCACACACACACATACAATGATGTCAATCGACAACAATTCCCTCGACAATTTGTCGATTGACTGCGACTGTGAATAATTAACAAAT